GTATTTGCGTGGTAATTTACACTATCATTGTGGATTTTAAAATAAAATATCTTTTATTATTTGAGTACATCTTATTTCTAGAAAAGTGTTAAAAAAGTAAGTTTGTGAATTTTGTAAACTGTTTGTTTGTGACTCTAGCATTACTCAATTTTATTTTCTCTCTCCTCTTGATAACTTTTATTTATCTGTGTGTTTTCATTAATTATTTGATAAAATAAATATTATTGTCATTTTTTGTTTTGTAGAACTTTGAACATAATTTTTAGTATGTAATTTCTATTTTTATTGATGTATCAATTTCTAAATAAAATAATTTCAAGAATCATGTAATTTTACATTATAATTCCCATTTTCCAATCAAAAAATGGACGGAAGTAATATTTCTTTTGAATGAGTGGGCCATCAAAATTCAAAAGAAGGAATAACTTTTTCATCTTCCACACATTAAGTATGAGAGCAACGGCCACTTCCAATTTTCCTCCCCACTCACTCTTTCACTCTTCCACAGTTCCACCTCTCTGTCTTTTTCGTTCTCTCCAATAATAATAAATTCCTCACAGAACAAAAGAATCACAAACCCCATTCTCGAAATTTCTTGAATCTTGATTTGCTGCAATGGCTTCCGCGCAGATTCCGCGCAGAAAGCTGATGGTGGAGATATGTAATGCGAAGAATTTGATGCCCAAGGACGGCCAGGGCACCGCCAGCGCCTACGTGCAGGCGGACTTCGACGGCCAGCGCCGGCGGACGGCCACCGTTCACCGGAATCTCAACCCCCAGTGGAACGAGCGTCTCGAGTTCTTGATCCACGATTCCGATTCCATGGCCTCCCAGACGCTCGAGCTCAACCTCTACAACAAGGCCTCTGAAAATAGATCGGCTTTCCTCGGGAAGGTTAAGATCGCCGGCAATGGCTTCGCCGAGGCCGGATCTGAGTCCCTCGTCTACTATCCTCTCGCGAAGCGAAGCGTCTTCTCTCAGATCAAAGGTGAAATTGGTGTTAAAGTTTGGTATGAAGAAGATGAACCAGAGGTTCTGCCGCCTCCGACGGCGGAGGAGAAGAAGGAGGAGACTCCACCACAGGCTGCAGAGGGTTCGCCGGAAAATCAAGAAACAGAGAAGAAGAAAGAAGACGGGCCGCCGGAGGAGGAGGAGGAGAAGCCGGAGAATCAAGAAACAGAGAAGAAGAAGAAAGAAGACAGGCCGCCGGAGGATCCCAAAAAGAACGAGGAAACACCGCCTCCGCCGGCGGCCCAACCACCTGCAGTGCTGCAGAAACCCCGCATCAACAAACCCATGCCGGAAAAGTGCGGCGAACTGAAAGTTGTCCAGAGCATCTCCGGCGGGGACCTGCGGAACAGAACCTTCGATCTGGTCGATCAGATGCCGTTCCTGTTCGTGCGGGTCGTGAGGGTGAACCGGGTCGACCCGGAACCCGACTCCACCGCCTACGCGAAGCTAGACATAGGAACTCACAGCATCAGAACAAAATCATTCACTCCGGCCGCCGCCGCCGGGAACAGAGAATGCGATCAAGTATTCGCCTTCGACAAAGGGGGTTTGAATTCCACTTCCCTGGAAGTCTCCGTTTGGGTGGAGAAGAAGGAAGCAGAGGATAATTGCATCGGAGCAGTGTGGTTTGACTTGCCGGAGGTGCCCAATAGATTGCCGTCCGACAGCCCATTGGCGCCTCAGTGGTACAGTTTACACGGCAGTCACAGCCTGAGCTTCCCGGAAAATGAGGTCATGCTGTCGGTTTGGGTCGGTACTCAGGCCGACGAGGCGTTCAACGACGCCTGGCAGTCGGACTCCGGCGGGCTTGTGCCGGAGACCCGAGCACAGATTTACTTGTCTCCGAAGCTTTGGTATCTGAGGCTAACGGTCATCCAAACCCAGGACTTGAAATTTGGTTCGGGAACAACCGAAGCTAAGGTTCAGGATCTTGTCCTGTACGTCAAAGGTCAACTCGGCGCCCAAATTTTTAAGACCAGCCGGACCACATTCCAATCCTCCAGCTCAACTTCAAATCCGACGTGGAATGAGGACCTTATCTTTGTGGCAGCAGAGCCGTTTGACCCGTTTCTGACCCTCACCGTGGAGGATGCAGCCCACGGGCAACCCGTGGGCCACGCTCTAGTACACGTGGCGTCCATCGACCGGCTCGCCGATGACAAATCAGAGCGAAGGTCGCGGTGGTTTAATTTGGTCACCGGTGGCGGCGAGAACAAAGAATATGCCGGACGTATCCATGTGAAACTAAGCTTGGAAGGCGGGTATCACGTGCTCGATGAGGCAGCTCATGTGACGAGCGACGTCAGAGCCACCTCAACCCAGCTCGCGAAGCCGCCCATTGGACGGCTTGAGCTGGGAATCAGAGGTGCCACCAATCTCTTACCGGTGAAAACCAACAACGGCGCGCGCGGGACCACCGACGCTTATGTCGTGGCAAAATACGGACCGAAATGGGTCCGCACGCGCACGATCGTCGATCGGTTTAATCCACGGTGGAACGAGCAATACACGTGGGAGGTTTACGACCCTTGTACTGTACTAACAATCGGCGTGTTCGATAACGGGAGGTACAACAGTCAGAAGCAACAAGATAACACTAAGAAGGATCTCCGTCTTGGGAAGCTGCGTGTACGGCTTTCGACACTGGACACGAATAAGATGTACGTGGGCATGTATTCACTCGTCGTGTTGCTCCCGAGCGGGGCCAAGAGAATGGGCGAGATTGAGATAGCGTTGCGGTTCACGTGTTCGTCGTGGTTGAGTTTGATTCAGGCGTACGGGAGCCCCGTGTTGCCAAGGATGCACTATGTGCGGCCACTCGGGCTCGGCCAACAAGATATACTAAGGCACACGGCTATGAGACTTGTGGCGACAAGGCTGGCTAGGTCCGAACCCGCTTTAGGTCCGGAAGTGGTTCAGTTCATGTTGGATTCAGACACCCACATTTGGAGCGTGAGGAGGGGGAAGGCGAACTGGTTTCGGGTCGTCGGGTGCTTGTCCAAAGTGGCCACGCTGGCCCGTCGGATCGACGAGATCCAGAAATGGGCCAACCCGGCCACCACGGTTCTCGTCCACGTCCTCCTCGTGGCCAGCGTGCTGTGCCCGCACCTCATCTTGCCGGCAATTTGCATGTACGTGTTCCTCGTCGCATCGGCGGGGTCCCGGTCCCGCCGGAGCGTCGCGGTCGCGATGGACCCGCGGATGTCGTATCTCGACGCGGTGGGTCCCGACGAGCTAGACGAGGAGTTTGACGGGTTCCCGACGACGCGAGCGCCCGACCAAATCCGGATCCGGTACGACCGGCTGAGGGCGCTGGCGGGGCGGGCCCAGATGCTGCTCGGCGACGTGGCGGCGCAGGGTGAGAGGGTGGAGGCACTGTTTAAGTGGAGGGATGCGAGGGCAAGTGGGATGTTTGCGGTGGTTTGGTTCTTGGCTTCTCTCGTCTTCTACTTGGTCCCTTTTAAGGTGTTTGTTTTGGTCGCCGGATTTTACTACCTCCGCCACCCGAGGTTCAGAGGGGACATGCCGTCCGTCCCCGTCAACTTTTTCCGGCGACTTCCGTCACTTTCCGATCAAATTCTTTGAGTGTGATCTGGAGATACCTTTTAGAATTTGTGTTAATGATATGTTGTGTAAAAGTGCTTAATTCAATTGGTGTACTAATAATAATAATTGGTGGTATTATTATTTGTTTCAACTTTACCCAACCTCTTCTTTTGTCATTTACTCCATCCGTCCAAGTTTGTTAGGAGTGCTTATTTCTTTTAGGAGTGTTGTTCTCCTTCACTTCTCCTTCTATTTTTTAAAATTATTATTTTTTAATATTTAATTAAATTAGTTAAACTTAAAACATAAATTAAACATTTCATTAAGATTAAATTTTAAAATATATTTTAAATAGTAGTAATAAAAAAGTGCATAAATCTTTAAAAAAAATACTAAAGAAGGTTGACCAAAAAATATTTATTATTTTTTGAAAAATTGCATTAACCTCACAACTAAAAAGAAGGCAAAGAAACCGTCGAAAAGAACTGCAATGACATCGCCTCTCATGTGGTGGGATCAGGGGGCGATGGGGCAATGTTCCTGCCTTCGTGGAGGAGTGTGACAGGAACCATATTGTCCAACCTTACAAAATAAAGTATAATTACTTTGGTTGAACGAGAATTGTATTTTTAAATTTAAAATTCATCCTTCCTAGTATGTTACGGAGCCCAAAATAACAAGTTAAAAAAAGGGTTGCCTTCCGAATTCCAAATTAATCTTTCCAATTTCTAAAAAAACTTCCAATTTCTTTCTTAAATTTTTTTTGTGACTTACCAGTTAAGGTATCATCTTTCTTTCACTGCATCACTTTTAATTATCTATTTTTTTAGTTTGTGCCAAACTTGAAAACGATTAATGTAAGAGGGAGAGAGTATTAAATAAAGGTGGCCACCAAAGTGACCGTTTTCATGTATTGAGGGACCATATTCCATAGTACGAGTATTTGAGAGAGATAACAACTGACAATGTACTGCCAAGGAAAAAGGTAGAATTACTACGCTCAAAATGTATGGAGATGAGAGAAGTGAGTCATACTGTCATAGACCGTTAAAAGACTTAAATGCGGAGTAGAGTAAGAAAATTACCACAGTAAGATAATTTGGTTGAGATTTATGAAGAAAAAAGAATGTGGATCACTTGATGCATCCTTCAAGAAGAACGAAAGTTTTATTTTGTGACAGAAAAATGGCTGGAAAATGATCAGAGTGGGTATAGGTGCAACGTTCTGAAACTACGGAAATTTTAGAAGTAAGTTTCGAAAACAGGGGATTTGGGTGCCTATTTTCCAAAACACGGGAGGTACTGGTGCTATTTGCCCTTAAATTTATATATGGAGTATCTAAAGCCACGTCAAATTATTTATAAAGCAAGAGACGCCATGATTCCGGAATTTTATCAAATTAATAACAAAAATATGTAAAAGAAAAGATAAAATTTGATCTATGACCAGTGAAGTGTGACAGATTAATTCATAACAGAGCAAACATATAATGCACACCATGTTACGCTTTGAGCTACAAAATTTTAAAGTGAAATTTGTAGGAAATGTAGGAGGGATAGACAACAACTAACTTGGAAAACATAACTGCTAAGTGCCTCCTTGTCAAATCTTACCTCCGGCATTTGCACTTTGTGTAGCCACTCAACAGACACTATGGGGGTACAAGTCCGTACAACAATGAAGGAATCATCTATGACCTCGGCCGCCACATTCTAAGCACATTATATTCCCAGTCCCGCCACAACCTGCTTGACAAGAACAAGGAAAGAACAATACAGAGTAATCAAAAAACTCATGCAATTTTTCCCCTTCTTTTTTTTTTTGCTGTGAATGATGCAATAAGGGGATAGGGGTTGAATCATGGTTGGAGCAATACGCCTAACAGGCTCATGGTAAGACTTGTTTGGCTGAAACGGATGGGTTTTGCTGAAAGAAAAAGTGTTCAGTTGATGAGTGGAATAAACCACTTAATGTTCTGCCAAACGGAGCCTATATGCAACTTTTTAGAAGGGGCAGTGAAATTGGATACTTTCTAGCAAACATATTCGCACCCACCCATGTTTTGATACTTATGAGTCATCCGATCTTGTCCAGATTAAAGTGTAGAAAAAGTTAGGAGGGAAAGAGAAAAAAAGAAACATTTACCTAAGCATCGAACTTTGACGATAATCCCTTGACATTCCATAATAGAGTCAACATATAAGCCTGAACCAGAGCACGTGCTGCATAAGACAGCACCTTTTGCTTCACAACCAGCACAAGGTGTGCTATTTCCAATATTCTTCGCAATCGAAGGCAGCCCAAGAGGTTTCTCTATAACTTCCTCAGGTACTGACTTGTCATTGCAAAAGAGAGATTCAAGACTGCTTATTCTCTTGTTCATGCTCCCTACATCATTTGAAACTGCCTGCACACATAAAAAGTAAATTCTAAAGTTGTTTCATAATTGATTTACACACTTGCAAAGGTTAATTCCTTAAAACAGCCGAGTTGTAGCTGGACTAAATCTTAGCTCATAGTTCTTGGAATCCCGGCTAGAGAATTTTGGCTCAAACTTAGAATTTGAAATAAAAGCCTATTATCCTGGCATAGCATGAATGGAAATGAAATCCAAGAAGTAGAAGTTTACTATAAAGAACTTCATATATAATCCACACTGCTCCTAGCTAAAAGCCAAAAAATGATGTTTTTTTATGTTTTAGCTTTTATGGTGCATTGAAGTGCTCTACCTAAAGCAAAAATTTTTCCTTTTTTTGCACAAACAATATTGGTAGAAAAAAGGTAGAGTGGCTAAGATGCCACAACAGTCCCAATCCCAAACTGGGTCTAGATCTTTTACGCTCAATTAAGCATACAGTGAGAAGGAATTAATATTTTAGAGAATATATGAAAATATTACAACAACAACAACAACAACTAGTAATGTCCCACAAGCTTGGCCTAGGGAGAGCAGGTGTACACATACCTTACCCCAGCCTGTAAAGATATAGCGATAGTTCCCTAAAGACCCTTGGATCAAGAAGAATAAAACATGATAGAGTGATCTAAATGTTTAACAATAATAATGTACTTGCCTACTCCTAAAATACTAGAGTACATATGAAATAATTATGTGTAAATAAAAATATAGTTGTTTATATGCATAAGAATTATAATGTAGAACAATTTTTATTTTATAAAGGGGAAAAAGAAATAAAATATATATATATAACTCCAATGCTCCAAATTTAGGAAGTGATAATTGAGTTTGGACGAGACTATAGCTCCTCCATCTGCCTCTCATTTCCTGCCAACTTTCCCAATCAAACAAGCAACACTCCAATTTCCACGTCCTTCGCTCCAAACAAACAAGGGCATAATGTTTGGAAAATAGAGATCAAAAGAACGTCATATTTAACAAGGAGAAGCTTAGATTACAAGTGAAGATTTTTATAGTGAAACTCTATTTCCCTGATTTCTATTTCATTTCAAACTATCTATTCAAGAATCAAAATGCTATAAGCTAAGATTTAATCCAACACCAGCATCCATACTGTAAAATTCCCAACAGAAAATAATTATACTCAATCCATCCCATGAAGATAGTTCACTTTTCCGTCTATGTTCATCCAACAGAGATAATCCACTTACCCTATTGAACATATCATTGTATCTTTAAGTCCACACATTCCCCTAATTAATCTATTGTTTCTTAGCAATACCAGATAAATTGTTCAAGGAATAGTATACGGAATGAGACATTGGGATATATAAGTGCGGAGTAAAATATAGATCAAATATAGCTTGTTAGCTTCTTGGTATATTTTTGGAAAAGCAATGCTTTAATTATATTAATAACTGCCATTTCTTAATTCATGCTTTGACAGAGGGAGTAATAATTCCTCCTTAGATTTTAAAGCCTTGTAAAAAAGAAATTACAAGGATTGTACAAACTAAAGTGGAAATTATAGAATTCAGAAACTAACACATACTCCCTCTGTCCCAGCTAGCTTCTAATTTTCCTTTTCCGTCTCAAAGTTATAATTTGAAAAGTTCACAAATCAGAAACTCGACAACTAAATCGGAATGAGTAGTTGACAACAGGAACAGAAAAAAAGGAAGCAGCGAAAAGGGAAAAGAAGTCAGGGATTACATACACGAATCTGAGAACGAGATCTGAGTATGGCGAGGCCGTTAGACTGATTGGTCGAAAACGGATTGAAACGACAGAAGATCGGGGCAACGTTTCCGGTAACCCGGTTGAATGCGGGAGCGAATTTGGCGGGAACGATTGGGGAAGACGAAGACCGCAGCGCACATGAAGCGTAATCCATTGTTGCCGGCGACGATCGATTCGTCGGGGAGAAGAACTCAAGACTTACGGATAGAGGAATAGTGGGATGAGGAGGTGGAGACGAGAGAGATGGGATTTGAATCGGGTACTGTTATTGTTTCTAACGTCTGCTCGCCAGAAATTTCAGGCCGCGCATTTCACTATTTTTTTCATTTTTTGTCTTCGATGTATACGAGGGAGTAGGGCTGGAACCAGCGGTTCAGGCGACCCAGCCCATGGAACCCGAACCGGTAGTTCCAAAACCAGTGATTCCGGCTCAGGTTCCAGACCAATTTTCGGTTATTAATTTTTTTTAAATGGAAAATGCTAGAGTCACAAACATATAGTTCACAAACTTCACAAACTTTCCTTTTGTGGATTTTAAATTAAAATATTATTTATTATTTGAGTACATCTTATTTTTAGGAAAGTGTTAAAAAGGTAAGTTTGTGAATTTTGTGAACTGTTTATTTGTGACTCTAGCATTACTCTTTTTAAATCTAATACGGAGTATATGAACAATATAATACTATATGTAATGTAAAAGAAATTTATAATTTTTTATAAATTCTAATAATGTAGTCGTAATTTAAATGAATAAAGTTGAATATTAGAACTACAATTTATATCCTAACGATTAAAAAAACGAAGAGCTAAAGAATCGTAAAGAAACTCTCGAAGGTAAAGAAAAACCTCTCCGCGAATCTCTCGCACAAAAGTTTTCTCTCCAACATAGGTAAGAACACGACATTATCTTCCTTCCGCTACAAGTTTCTTATCCTTCCATCTTTTTCGTCTCTTTTCTCTTAATTTTCTATTAATTCAAACACTATTTCTTCTCTTTATTTTCTTTTCATTTTCTTTAATCTCATTTACTATCTATAGCGGCATTCTTCTCTCTTATTTCAAATGATACTTCAATTTCTTTCTTAACTTTCCTCACACCACTTTAGTGGACTTCCTCTTCTCTTTAAAAATAGTGTGCCCCCCGTCATTAATTTATTTTATTTATGTTATTTCAAATATTATTAATTAAGATAAATAAAATCAATTAAGATATATATTTTAAAAAAAAGTAATTCAAATTTGCAAAATACAGTTTTTAAATTTTAGTAAAGACACAAATTCCACAATAATTTTTTTAGATAAAAAAATATTATGCTTGTAAAAAAATGGATCATTCTCTCCATTCTAAAAAAAAAAATCAACTTAACACACCATGTTTCGAACTTTCGAAGAGTGTTTCTATCACTAACTTTAGACTCGTACTCTTTCAATCACAAAAAAAGATTTCACATTTCCGTTTTTCTGTTTTCAGTGGTTCAAAAAGATTTACTTTCCACTTTTGAAATTTTTTTGTAGCTTATTACTTTTCTTTTCTTGGCATCACTTTCAACTACATAATCTCATTTTTCTTATTCATCGTGGCAAGTTAAACATGGAATGTTTTTTACAAGACATTGGACGTATAATAATGTATGGACTTTTTGTAGGTCCTAAAGCACAATATTTACTTTCTCTCTAAAAATTGTTATCCTTTAATGCAACATGCACAATTGACAAGTCCCTTGAGACAGAGGTAGTGCATGTTTTGACATTAGACATTTGTTTTTTTGGTTATGTTGTAATGCTTTCTCTTCATATAACAAGTCACTATTATTTGGAGTTATATACTTATTTGAGGAGAAGGTTTGTATACATTTCAACACTATCCTAATCTTGAATGAACTGTTTTATTATGTTATGATTTGTTATCAAGTGATCACAAGTGTTGCTATGCTGCAAGAGTGCAAGGAATCAAGTGAGAATACATATTGATGGAGCAATAAAACATATTCACAAAAAAGACAATGGTAGAATGGCAATAATGAATCCTAGATTCACACAAAAAAAATTAGACACAAAAAAGTATGTAGTGCATCTCCAACACCAGCCCTCTTTTTCACATGTTCCATGCCTACAGACTACAAAGGTAATTAGTTAATCTTACAAACTCTGCCAGTTGGTCAATATAGTAATGAGCTAAAAACTGCATCAGTTGCTACATCAGAATGGGCGGCGGCGGCGGTGGAGGTGGTGGTGGTGGGGGGGGGATGTATATGTGTTGTTCACCGCTGCCACTTGAACAAGCTGATTCCGCTACAGCTCTCTGCAGCACTGTCATCATCTGACCCACTATCGACCGTTTCATCCGAACTCTCCTCTGTGGGGGCCACCTGCACTCTGTTGGCATTTCTCATGACCCAGTCTGCGAATTCGGGCGAAGATGCTAGCTCTGCAATCCCCGCCTTGGTGGATTCTTGTGTGAGCTCCTCCCATTCCCTCCTGGAGAATCTCTTCCTGTTGGGCGTTTTGTGGTAGGTTGAGAAATAGTACTCAGGTTCCTTTCTTATTCCCCTTGTTTTACCGGATTGTCGCAGTCCTGCAAAGAAACCACAAGTGAGATATGGACGTAAACCTTATCCCTACCTAAGAAAGCTATTGGTCATTCAACACATTTAGAGGGTGTTCGCGGTTGTGTTTGAAAATTATCTTTTAGATTTTGCTTCGTTAAAATGCAATTTGGAGGGTTTTCGGATTTGCGTTCAAAAACTACTTTTGAGCTCCTGCTTCATTAAAATGTAGTTTGTCGTGTTTGTCGATTGGCTTCTTCTTATAGATTATGATTTTTCAAGTCTAGCATGGGCTCTGGAAGTGCTTTTAAGCAAAGCTAAAACTATCTGCTTTGCGGTTCTACTTAAAACTTTTGCTTTTTCAACAATCCACCACACTCCCAAACACCCTCTTAGCGTGTTTGGCAATCTGCTTCGACTTATAGATTATGACTTCAGAAGTCTAAAATGAGCCCAAAAGTTCTACTTGTAAACTTTCGCCTTTTTGGAAATCTACCACAACTAGGGCTGTTCATCGGTCCAAACCCGGACCGAACCGGACCGGACCGGACCGAAGACCGAAATCAATAAAAATGGGGACCGAAGACCGGACCTAAATGTTTTCGGTCATTGACCGAACCGGACCGAAATCATGTGGACCGAACCGACATAGACCGAAAAAGACCGAAAAATAACCCTTTTAACACCCCACTGTATTTCTGTAAAAATTGGAGACACAACTAGCATCTTCCGATAAAGCTAATGAACAAATAAAATCAGTTCCTGATTCAATTCAAAAATCATTTTAAAGAGGAATTAAATTTAAAGGCACCAAGGGATGGTAGATCGGGTTGGGATTTGGAAACATCTTCAAATTTAAAACAAAAAAAAACCAAGAAAACCAACTTGGAGAGATTGGAGTACTTGAGTGGCTGCTGGTGCCTGGTTGAGGTCGGAGTATTCTTCACCGGTCGGGACTTGCAATTTGTGAAGAAAAAATTACAGAGTATGCTATAGTGATTTTTTAGAGAATATAAAGAGGGATAAAGAAAGAGTGGATACAAAGTTAAGGAAAGT